AGCGACTATACGGGGCCAGGCAAAAGTTATCGGACCTAAAAATTCTAAAATCTAAAAAATTCACAAAAAATATGTTTGCCTCTCTGTGCACGGTACGATTTTACTCATAAATAGTCCTACAAAATATGACAGTTTTTTTCCAAAATTAAGAGGGTTTTCATTCATATCATTCGTATGTTTGTCTGTCTGTGCACGAAAGAACTTTTCTCATAGATCACCTATAGACACGTATAGCCATTTATGGGGTTTCGCCTAAAAGCCACGGAGTCAAACCCAAATCCAAGTATCATCCTGTTTCAAATTTCACATTCACGTTCCACATCTGCTTCACTCTTCGTCGTTTACCTTGCCTGAAGGAATCTTAAATGGATTTTCTTCAGTCCTGCTGCAAAGACTCTATCTCATGGTGTCTAAAATTCTCATTCTCTTCTTTTACTTTCGTCCCATGTTGTCTAACCGTATGTTGATCAAGCGCCGTTACTCGACAGTTTTTCCAAAAACAACTCTAATTTAATTCTCAATCGCTAGTTTGGACAGATAATCAAATTGTTGAGGCGCTTAATTTAGGAGGGGATGTTTAGTCTATCGGGTAGTTCGAAACGGGTACTAAAAATGTAACATATTATTTTATTATGCAACGCATTAAGTAACTACTTTTATTTTACGTAAACATTTTTTATATTTATGACCATTTTACAACCTGTTCCTGACCAAGAATTAATAACACGCTGAACTTGTGTGTACGTTAATTCAGAAATGCAATAAAGCCCGACCGGTAATTATACAACATGCAAAATCTAATGACAACTTAATCCGTTTCTGTTTTTGTTTACTATATTTAAAGACGCGTTGCGAATGTCGCACGTTTTTCAGCACGCGAAAAAAATCGCAATTACGCGCCGCCACTTTCGAATCGCCGTTATACCGCGATCGCACCGGAAACAATCGGTCGTTTTTCTAATTTGAAAATACGTACCGGAATGAAATCACGTTTAAGAAGTTGGGTAATAATAAGCTACGGATATAAACTAATTCATTTCATGATGTAATAATTGTAATACTTCTAACAATGAAATTGAAAGTAATGCCCATCCCTCTAACATTTAGCAGCTTAATCAAAAATTTAACTCGCCCAAGGTCCTTCGTTGTAATTCGCATTGCCGACGGCTCTGCAATTTGTGCAATTGGTTTTATGGGCAGAGTTACCGCGGATTCCGCACAATTCCTAATTGTTTATACGAAAAAGGCAACACCACCTCGAGTGCCGTACGAGGGGTTGATCACGAGGGAAATTTTAGGCAATGAAGGAAATGTTTGTCCCCTAAAGTAAGTCGTAACCAACCCCCCGAGGGAAATTTTTGTCTCTCATATAGGACATTTCGAGCAAATAGCTAAGATATACATAGGAAATGGACGAAATTAGTGGGAATTCTGGGGAAATATTAGGAAATTTTGGGGACATAGGAGGAAATTTTACAAGAATTAGGAAATTCTAGGGAAAGGGAAATAATAAGGAATAAGGAAGTTACTCAGGTCACGTTAATTCGCAGAAGATTTCTGTAAATTTGGGAAAATTTGTCTCCTCTAAAATAAGTCATAACCCACCCCTTGGATTTGTAGTTATGCATCCTCGTATGCATTCTTTACTGGGTAATCGAATCTTCGTATACACTATGGTCTACATTCTTCCCCAACAAGGTATAGTGTTACCACACAAATGATGCTCCCCCGCCCTCGGATTATCTCTTCCCAAAGATGACCATGAAAATCCTAAGGGTACTACAGCGAGAATTATGGAACCATCTCTTTTACCGGGTAAATCAATCTTCGTAAGAGTACTCCCCAGATCTATATTCTTTCCCAACAATGTTTAATGTTTCCACTCAGATCCACGATTTTTTGGAGTATGGAATACGCCTCAGAAAGAGAAGATTCAACTGTCCTTCTCCACAAACTATCGTGAAAGTACCGGGGAATCTAGGCAGTATGGACACGAACCACACGAAGATTCGATTGTCCTTTCTCAAAGGGTACCATGAGAAAGCGCTAGGGGCACTGCACAGCAAGTATTATCGAGCCATCATTTACTGGGTAATCACCAGGAGTTGGTCACGACTTATTCTAAGGGACAAAGACTCGGACAAAGATTTCCTTCATTGCCTAAAAATTGCCACCAACTCCCTTAATTTTGCCAACATTTTTAGCATTGCCTTAAATTTACCCAAATTTACACAAAATTTTTCCGAATGAACGTGAAATGAGTAATTAACTTTACTCCCTATAGAAACCTTTTATTTCCATAACATTTCCTCTAAATTTCCTCAACATTTTCTAATATTTCCCCTTCCTTTGAAATTTCCTCCCATGTCACCCAAATTTCCTAATCCTCAAAATTTTTCTCTAATTTCGTCCAGTTCTTACATTTTTCCCAGCTATTTCCTCGAAATTTCCTATATGAGGGAAAAGACTTTCCCTCGTGACCAACCCCAACAATGTTTAGTTACCACTTTTCGAGAAAAGACCAACAAACTTAGAACCACGATTCTTTGTAGTATGGAGTACTTCTCAAGAAAGGAAGATTCCACTGTCTTTTCTCACAAACTATCATGAGTCTTGAAGGCTGGACACTTTTGTGGGAGAACGTAGTACCGAGGGGCCTAGGAGGGTGTGGAATATGCCCCAGCACACAAAGCTCGATTACCCTCTCTTAAAGGTTACCACTCGGGTTACCATGAGAGTGCTAGGGGCACTAGAGCCAGAATTATCGAGCCATCTTTTTCTTGCGTAGTAAAGCGAGGAAAACGCTGCTGGACAGAGAGAGAAGCGAAAATGTAAGACTCCCATGTAACGTAGAAGACAGTAACGGTTGGGTGCAGAAAAGAAAGAATTGAATGAACATGTCAACAAGATGGAGGATAGAAAAATTGTACGAATTGCGCGTGATAATCACCAAAAGGGCACAGAAACGTATGTCGCTCCAGAAAGAGGTGGAGTGACAGCCTTGAAACCGATGCAGATGGATGAAGTAACATGCGAAACAACTAAAACAAGGAAGAAGAAGAGAAATACTGGGAAATCCAATCTTCGTATATAATATGGGGAGTTTGGAGCACGCTATCTAAATTGACGTTTTTTTCAAAATTACAAACTATATAATAGTTCGTTTTAAACATTTTAAATCATTAATGGCAATTTTAACAGCGTTTCCCAATTCCGGAATTTATAAAAAAACTCTAATCAGCAGAATGACAAAAAATGTTTCACTTTTTGTATACGTAAGAATAAATAAAGCAAGACGTTAATGTTCAATCAATCATGCTTTGTGGTTTATTGTGACAGTTATGTATCCACTTTATAGATCCATCAAAATGATGGCATCCAGTTTAAAGCATCGAAAACAGGTTTGGTGACAACGTAACTTATGTGGATGATTATTCAACACATATTAACACGCGCGAAACCAAAAGAACTTCATTGGGTCGAATTCCGTGCATAAATAAATTGCAACGTTTCGTAAATAGATTTTTTGAAAAACATTTAAGCAGTTACACAAATGAAAATTAAAATAATTGCTAGAGGTCCAAACTGTCACTGTACAGTTCAAATAGTTCAAAATCCGGAAGGGGATGCAACATTTTTTATAATTTATAACTGGGTAGCAACACTGGAACTCAATGAATAATACTTAATAGCCATATAATAATAATAAAAGCATGATTAACAACGTTCTATAATTCATTTCTCGTATACCTAAATACTTTTTTAATTTATTTTTTGTGTGTTTTGGACGACATAATTATTAGCAGTCTCCGTTTGGGAGTAGAGAGCATTTTTTGAAAATACCTAGAACGACAAAATGTTGTAGGGGTGACACTTCATTAGTTGTTGCTGATTTTGTGAAGTTAGCACCCTAATTTTTGTACCCTTTTTTGTGCTTATTTTACTGCAACGTAAAATGATAGAAACTATAGAAACTCTATTAAAATTTTAATTTTTTATCTAGTGGTGCCATGTTAGTATGTTACAACTTCAAGTAAGAACCTTAACGAGACTGCCCCCTAATGTGTTACACTTGGTATCATTTTATTACAAGTACAAGTTTACTTACAGGGCTGAAATGGGCAATGACAATCGACATAGTAAGTTACGATACACTGCTCAAAGTACCTATTAAAAATTACGCAAAATTGACCAAGAGAGTCGAGTTGTAGCAATTTTTATTTCGAACGCCGACAACATTTGTTAGGTGACATTTTTGGGCCTAATTTGAAAAACTACCCCTTCTAGAGGGCGCAATTTGTATCACGCACCAACAACAGGGGGCCAAATTTAAAAATCCATTCGCGCGAAATTGGGCTTGTCATAAATGACTAATGACCCAATGGAAACGTAAATGGGGCAATTGCAGAATTCTTCTAAAAATACGAAAGAATGCTTGTCTATTTTAGTAAATTCCACCCTATTGTGTCGAACTCACGCTGTGCCATTCATATTATAAGGGTAGTAAGTTACCTTCGACGTTTCGAATAATGTGCGACGGTCGGTGGTGTTTCTTGCGGAATCGGCATCGGAGGTATTTGATGATGTGGAGGCGGAGGTGGTGGCTGTAGGTATGTTGGGGGGGCCGTATAATGAGGCGGACCACCCCCGGCGTACGCGTACATATCCACTGTGATTGCAGTATTTGAACGATTTGTATTAAAAGTCTCACTGCACTCGAGCGGCGGGTTGCACAAAAAACACTATTAGCGAATTAGCACATTCTAAAGGGGTGGTTATTATTACGCGAAAGTTAAAAATTAGACATGAGTCGCGTGCGAATTGAACACGAAGGGTGGATGTTGATTCATAGCAGAATGTTTAGAAAAGATTATTGCGAATGCACTTTAAGCGGTTTACGTCGAAACACATGCTTTCCACCCGCACAACAACACAACGTATACACAAGACAAGGATCGCTCGCGTACTGCCAGTACGGGAATGGGCCGTCCACCCGGAGTGGGGCACATCAACAACAGGTACGAAGACGCTTATGGAATATGGAAAGACGATGCACAAACTTTTAGTGCCCCCATCGGATAAGTTTGCAGTTTACGCTCGCAGTGACCGAGGGAATTTCCAAAACGCGTAAGTATATTTATTTCTTGATTACGTAGAAATTAACAAGAAATTATTATCGCGCGCTAATTAAGCAAGAATTGCCCCAAATCCAATTAAACGATTACGATTAAATTAACGAGACAGTAACAAGGGATTTATTTTAATTGTGAGATTTTTTCCACTTATCTCAGATTTACGAATTTGGTCAATTCAAAGTTCGGAGTAATTAACACTATGGGCCCTTTGAGCGTCGTTCTTCGAACAATTACTGAGACTTTTTGATACTTGATACTCGACTACAGGAGCTCAAAAAGGTCTTTTTATACGAAAATTCGAAAATCGTATATTTTTTTAGAATATCAAAATAAGAAATATAGACAGACGAGTTAGGTTTCCATTCAATTCATTATCCAATTTTTGCCGATTATTTAAAAATTGCTGCTTATATGCATATTATGCAGGGTGTCCAATGACCAGCTGAGTCGATTTTTTATATGAAACTAAGGCGAATATAAATTTGATCGTCTGTTGCTTATTAATTTTTGTTAATCTACAGTACAGTGGGACTAACTAACCTTAAATAAGTAAGTCGCCATTGCCTTTTGCAATAAAGCGCGACGCCCTTTTTTCTCGTTATTAATGAATTATACATTCAAAAATAAGGGCTGTTGAAATGGACAGTTTTTGTAGCAAGTGGAACGAAACATCAATTCGTGCTGCCATTTTTTGCGCATTTTTGCAATTTTATGTAAAAAGGTAGCTTTTAATCTCACTTTGGCCGGGTGGCTGACTGGCAGCAAATAAAGATCCGTAAAAGAATGTAGAAAGACGAGTAGTGTTCATGTACCTACCGGGGCCATGTAATTAACAACTTTAGGGACGGGACTACATGATGTGAGGCGGCCACATCTGGGCGCCATCCCCGAGCATGTTATACTAACCTGGAGATTTTTTTTTTTGGTGCGATTGTTTTCAAATTGTTCGGAAAGACCTTGTAAATGCATACAACTCCTGCGTGACGGAATTTTTTTTTGCGTGTAGCGAAATTAACCACCTTTTGCAAGGCGCGCGTCTTCGAGGGGAAGTCGACTTTGGGCGCGCAAAAATTTCTTAAGAGCTCTAATCGCAGTCTCTCTTCGTCGTGTCGCCAACAGAATCTCGAGCTATGAGAAGTATCCAAAAATTGAGTACTATTTTATGACGGGGTTTAACGAAACCACAAAATGCGAATTGCAAGTGAACGGGACGTCGGTGGTGGGTACCGACAAAAGGAGGGAGTAACCTCCGATGAGATCTTACTGATGGTGGAGTCAAAACTTCAAACGCGAATTGCGGGCAAACGGGACTTTTTGCAAGTGGGTACCGACAAAGGGAACGTGGTTGTCCCCGACAAGATCTTAATGATGATGGAGTTAAAATTTCAAAGGCGAATTGCGGGTAAACGGGACGTCGGAAGCGCTAAAGTCCCTTCGATCTCATACGACGACTTGATTTTGTGTTAACTTTGGTTGAACGTAACCACGAAGAAACAAACCACAAATTAATTCTGGTGTTTGTGACATCAATAAAATCCAATTTGTGCCCATATTGTTTAGCCAAAAATCAATTGACTAATTGACACCACATACCTTTATACGTAAAATTATTCTGTACGTGTGTTTGTGACCGAGATTCACAATTAAGCCCAATCGGATTCTAGGATTTTTTAAAACCTTATTTTTTCATTGATGTCGCACTCTGCCATTTCGCATTGTCCATAACATTGATGCTGAGAAATTATACAATTCGTTTCTATAACCGAACAATTTTTTACAGTATAATTGAAATGTTATTTAAAATGATTTGAGATTGAATTTGTGCCGTATGTAAATCTCAAGGTAATCTCAAACAGTTTTGAAATTAAAAACAAACCAAAGCAGTTTGAGACATCCTGTATAACTAACCACGTGCCACGGACCATACCACAAAAACAAGGATATAAAACCAACCATTTTCTGTGTAGCACGTTCTTTCTAAGTAATTTAATTATGTATGTATTTCACGACTGAAGCAAGATTTCGATTCTATCGTGGTGAAGAAGAAATAAAAGAACAGGGTTTCTCAGTATACTTTAACCCTCACTTCACAAAAAAGTTTCAAATAAAAGTATTTTATCTGTACTGACTAAAAATGTAGTAACTGATCAATATCTTTAGTGGGACACCCTGTACACTATATAGTTTTGAGAAGTCCTGTATCTAATGTAATGTTGTACTACAGGGTGTTACATATAAGTATGTAAAAAAATTTGGTGGTAGAGGGGATCAAAATAAGCAGTTTTTCCAAATAAACCGAGAGTCCAATGTGTTTCGTTTGGGATCCCAACAAAGGGGTGAAATTTGTGTTCCTTCTTTAATTTTTTTCTCAGTATTCATAAGAGCTACACAAAGACTGGTAGTACACCTTTGACCTTTGATTTGCAAAAAAATGTTGAAAATTTCCAAGACGAAAGGGCGCACCACTGAATGGAAGTGCGAAAGAAATTCTGATTTCGACGAAATTTGGTATCTGTGGGTTTTTTAAAATGAAAATCACGAATTTGAAATTGGTCTTTGAAAATTCGAAAAAATCCCACTGCAATACTTGGGCGGACAATGAAATTGGAGAGAATTTCACGATTTTTGATGTGTACAAGTACAATGTACATGCTTAATGAGTTCATGAACAACATTGCTGACTTTCTTACCCGAGGCCAGACTTAACCTTGAAATGTGGTGAGATTTTGAGTTATAGGATGTTACATATACCTAGCTATGTAAACAAATTTACGATTAATAATTTTTATGTTAAAAAACCCCCAGATACCAAATTTCGATGGATTTTTTTCGCAACCCCATTTAGGGGTGCGCCCTTTCGTGATAGGAATTTTAAAAAAATGTTTGCAAAATCGGAATAGGCATACCCTATTCAAAGACGTACAACCAGTCTTTGTAATTTGTATGGTTGCTGAGACAAAAATTAAAGAAGAAATGCAAATTTCGCCACTTTTTTGAAGGTATTTGGAGAAAGTGCTTGTTTTGTTCCCCTCTACCACCCATTTTTTTACATACTTATATGTAACACCCTGTATATATGTCATGAAGAAATACAAGGCTACTCACCTATGAGATGTTTTGATTATCCACTTCTATTGTATCAATGAATGTTACAGTATTTTTCATACGTATAATATTTTGACTTGTGACATTTGAACATTGTTAAATGCTCATGGAGATAGAAAATAATTAAAAATTTGGCACGTTCTCGGTGAGCCTTAGACAGGTTGCTACTGGTTCTGCGATGCTAATGAAAGTGTTCGCATTAGGTACATCAAATGGAAATATGTATTATAAATTATAGCAATAATTGATCTTGCGTAACAAAACGCTACGTCATTGCAAATTTTCTGTCCTAAGACTAAGAGTTGGAATTCCATTCCGCTTCAGTTGTTACGTATACAAACTAAAACTTTTTACCGATTTTGAGATTTGCCACTTCCTAATCGCTATAATCAACAATGTTGTGTACAAAAATGGTAATTAAAATTTACTACAAATTCCAACTGCACACTTAATTGAAGTTAGATTGGGAAAGGAATACCTATAATTAAGATCGGATAAGCGATAAGCCCCTCATATAAACAGTACATTCTTTCCCCCGAGCATTAACTAATTAGCGGTCTGTTAAAATGGTCACCAAACGACGAAACTTTGGGCAAATTTTCGGAGTTACGTAAGACACAATAAATATTTAATCAATGTTTATGTTTTACTTTCAACGCACTTATACACATTTAAAAGAATTAATGGGGGCGAAAGTTTTGCACGCAACTTTTTAATCTATCTATCTATCAATTATGGTGAACTTTGAACCCTGCATCGTAATTTCCTAATTTCCTTTCCGAAATTTAACTTTTCATATACTACCATTTTCATATATACACGTATCGATTGGTCGGATGAACAATAAACTCATAATCGAAAAGTTAGCCAATAAAACGAATTAGTACCATTCAAATTACTAATTAGAACAGGGTAAAGTATTTTATTCGTGTTTTGTGACCCTTGCCCCAAAAGCAAGTAATCGTCAAGATTTTTCTTTGGGGACAAACTGCCGCACGTATAAAACAACAAGTTTAAATGACGAGAGCGTATTTTCCTCCTAATAATGTAAATGCTAGGACCAGGAAAAAATACCGGTAGGCACGAGATCCTTACCCCATTCTCTTTCAAATGAAAAATAGTGGAGCGTATACAAATACAAAAATGGGCATTAGTTTTACTTTTATTCGAAGTGTCTACATCATATGAAACTTTTTTTAATGCTTTCGTAAATAGCATTACGCATTGTCCACATTCGAGATTTCATTGAATACCTTCATAAATAAAACCTACAGCATGCGTAAACAGTAATTTTGAAACTGGTGTTAGATTAGTCTTTATTCCAAATTTCTATGTATAAAATTTCAATTAAATGCTTTCATAAATAAAAAGGTTGGCATTGCGCATGCACAAAACACCATTTTGGAAACGTCGTTAATTTTACTTATATTCGTAGTGTTTACATATAAAGTTTCATTTAAATATCTTCATAAATAAAAAAAGTTAGCATCGCACATGCGTTAAACCAAATGTCTGACACTGCGCATGCGCAAAACCAAAAAATATCGGTAGGCACGGAATCCTTGAACCAAGCCCATTCAAATCGGCCAAATCGGTTCAGTGGTGTAGAAGGAGTACGTGTGACGGACGGACGACAAAGTACAGCCAATAGCGATTTTTCACTTTGAGGAAAATACGCTAAAAACGAAAATATGTGAAAAAAGTAGAAGTTATTACCAAACAATCAGCCGGGCGGACAGAGAAAGTTTCCGACTTTGACTCTCCTATTAACCCTTCATTTTTGGGGAAATAATTTTTCAATGTAATAGAGACAGGCACATCCAATTTAAGGTTGTTTGTACACTATTTACATACGAGATCATCAAAGTATGTGGTTGACACTAAACT